AAAAGAGAAAAGCCAATGCCTAAGTTAAATATAAACACTTCAATAAAAAAATTTGTTCGACATTTTCACGATAAAATGTCTCTGTAAATGCATAAAAATGCAAAAATTGTTTTCTTGGCTCGCCTACTATTTTCAAATGAAATTAGTGTGTGGGTAAGAATGGCTTTGACAATTTAGCTGGCAAAAGACATGAAAAAGCGTCGATTCTTTCGTATTTGAAGCAATTTGGAAATCGAAGCGGAATAGAATTTAACATTAGTAAATAATATAAAATAAATATTGAAAATTATAACGAGATAGTTACGGTTTATAGATATAATATACCTAAATAAATAGATGTTATATGTTTTTATCAAAGCAAGAATTGGCATATTAAAGGGCAAAGGAAATCTATTGAAACTAATAACGGGTAATTATATCGAACTTGTTTATTTATTAAGTACGTCAGATAAATAATCTATTAAAAATACATTTAAAGAAAGAATTAATTGATTGCCCCTGGAAGTCGGCTTCGTATAGAAACACAGCTATCATCAATCCCTATCATCAGTTGTCATGGCACGCCCCTGCTACAAAGTAATTAAATACTGACAAACTACTGAACAACGGCCATTGACGAAAACATAAAAATGACCATCTTTGAGGGTGCCCATTGTTTGGAAGTTATTTTGCATCCATTTTCGTTTAGCGTTCCTTAAAAAATGTCCGCCGTTTAGTGGTGACTATCGTTGGAGGTTTGGCGGTATTAGATAAGGTGATAAGAGGGGAAAAAGTGCTGAAATTAACACTTAAAATATTCAAATTTGCTTTTAATTTCATTCAAACTCTGTGTTTCTTAAAGTAAATTTTAGATTAATTGTAATTAACTGAACGCAAAATAGTTTATTTATTGATAAATTCTTTGTTTTTGTTATTTAATTTATAAANGTCGCGAATTCGCTCCCGGCCACATGATTTCGGTTTTTCTTCATGTATCTAACACCTAACAGAGATCAGTTTTCCATAGAAAGTCCTCCCGGGAGCCTCATTCCCTTGATCACTTTATATTTATCCAATTCAGTTCCTACATGTCAAGCCACGTCCTTCATTACCTGGCTGTCCCATTTTAGGCCTTGCCGAACCCACAATAAGTATGGAAAAAAAACCCTGTTAATGCTCACAGGGATAAGAGCTAAAAATATGAGAAAGTTATAGACGGGTTTGTATGACAGATGTTTGTATACTGCTCGAATATGCATATATAGTGTATATGTTACTGTGACCGAAATTAGAGAATGTCGATATTCGCCGGTGAATGTCGACACATACAAAATACGTCGGTGAAAGTCCGAATATTTGGTTATATTATTATACATTCGAACAATCGCCGGTGTGTGTCGACAAGCACAGATAAGCTTTGGTGGAGGTCGAAACGACACCCGAGAAGCCGATGTCGATAGAGAGGCGACAGTCTGTCGCCAAATCCTTTGTGGGTAGCCGGAGGTAGGACAAGGTCTTTTGATCCGGTGAGGTGGGGATCGATTTGTCAGGTCGAGTGGCGGAGGATGAGACGGGTCGTCGGTAAGGCGTCGGCGATATCTGAATAAAGGACACCATTAACAGATCAGTTCGTAATCACGTAATAACGTAATCAGTTCATAATTTGTAAAGAAAAGTTACTTTCCATAGATGAGATTTCTTCTCAAGAAATATCGCTGAGAGAAGCAGCTGCAGCTGATTCGAAAAGTGGAGGACAAGGCTATACACGCTGTCATTGCAAAAAGAAGTGTTCCACGAATAAATGCAGTCGTAAAAGCAAGGGACTCTTGTGCAATTCAAAGTGCCACAACAGTTTAAGTTGTTGCAATAAATAAGATTGTATAACGTTAATCACATAATTTATGTGTAAGTTTATTATTGTATTATATTCTTTAATGATT